AAAGGCCGCCCTGGCAATTTGATTGGCCTGAACATTTTTTGACTGATCATAATTACACCTCAATGGATCGATTCCAGACCGACCAAAAAATGTTGGCATAAAATCCAGGCTAATGTAACCCTAGTTTCCCTGCGTCAAACGCTGTGGGAACGCCCCTGTGTTGTGCGCCATGAAGCACGTATGGAATCAGCCCAATAGAGAGATGGAACGTCATGGCGGGTGTCATGGCGTCATCAACCAGGAAACTATAAAGCACCCCAAAAACACAAGCGCATCAGCTTCTGATAGGCCTGAAGGAAGCGCTAACGGGAGTGCCGGGAGTATGGCGGAACAACGCAGCGTCTCGTTCCCTGTCAGGGAACTAGGGATACATACGTAACCGAGATGTTCCCTTTCAAGGGAACTTCGAGCTGCATCAAACGCTGTTGGGACGCGAATACCCACGTCGCGTGGGTGACCGTCATGTGAGAAATAGCGCACAGAGGACAAGAGCACCTGTGCCCCAGGGGTAGAGCTTAAGTCTAGATCATAGAACTTAAAAAATGTATGCGGTGAGGACCACCCAGCCGAATCAAAGACATCACTCAGGGATACTTCTGACAATAGAGCTTTAGTAGCGGCCATACTCCTGGTAGAGTGAGCTCGTACAGCCGAAAGTGAAGGCTGACCTGCCGACTCATAAGCAAGTGAGATAGCCTCGACCACCCACTTGCTCATTCTCTGTTTAGACGCAGGACACCCTTTCTTGGGTGGCCCAAAACACACAAATAGTTGTTCTGATTTTCTCCACAAGGCAGCTCTGTGGACATAAGCTTCTAATGCCCTAACAGGACAGAGTAGATTAAGTTTCTCCTGGTCTGACGACGAAAATAAAGGAGGACAGAAAGCCTGCAGAACTGTAGGTCTAACAACATTAGAAGGGACCTTTGCAACGAAACCTGGTCGGCAGAAAAGCCTTAAACATGCCAGGCGAAATTCCAGGCACGAGGGTGAAACCGATAGAGCCTACAAATCTCCTATTCTTTTTAGTGAAGAGATTTGCAAGTAAAAAGATAGTTTTGAAAGTGAGAAACTTCTCAGGAACCTCTTCAATATGTTCGAAGGGAGCTAGGAAAATACCTTCTAATATAATGGCCAGATCCCAGGTCGGCACCCTCGTGCGAACTGCTGGCCTCAGCCTCAAAGTGCCACGAAGGAAACGTGTTACAAGCGGGTATCTCCCAAGAGAAACTCCACTGAAAGGGACGTGGTAAGCAGCCAGTGCCGCCACATACACCTTTAACGTGGAGGGGGATAACCCGGTGGAGAAGCACTTCTGCAGGAATTCCAGAACTGTACCCACTGGGCAGTTAACTGGGTCCTGCAGGTGTTCTCCACACCAAGAAGTGAAAAGTTTCCACTTCAAGGCATATAGCTTCCTTGTGGATGGAGCTCCGGAGTGAAGAATGGTCTCAACAACCTAGGTTGAGAGACCGGAATTTATGAGCTGGGCCCCCTCAGAGGCCAAGCCCACAGTTTCCACAACTCTGGGCGGGGGTGAAATATCGTGCCACCCACCTGAGAGAGTAGATCCCTCCTGACCGGGAGCTCCAACGGAGAGCCGTCCAGGAGAGAAATCAGGTCCGCGAACCATACTCGGGCCGGCCAGAACGGGACTACTAATAGTAGGCTGACCCTGTCCCGGCGGACCCTCTCCAGAACTCCTGGTAGCAGAGCAATCGGGGGAAAAGCCTACAGATGTGACCTCGGCCACAGCTGCACCATAGCGTCCAACCCCAGGTGCGACCGAAACTCAACCAAAGGAGCTCCATCACCTCGGGGTGAAGTCTCCATTCCCCCGGCCTCGGCCCCTGCCTCGACAGGGAGTCCGCTACCACATTCAAATACCCAGGAAGATACATTGCTCTCAGTGATAGTAATTTCTCTTGGGACCACAGGAGAACCTGACGGGCCAAATTGTAAAGCCGGTGAGACCCCAGTTTCCCCTGATGATTTATATAAGAGACCACCGACGTGTTGTCTGACTGAACTAACACATGATGACCTCTCAGGTCTGCTAGGAAGTGTTTCAAAGCCTGAGTCTGAGCAGCAAACGCAGCGCCCTGTAACGGCGCACCGGAAGGGAACGACTGGTTTAACTGCTCTGAGACCCTCCTCAGATGGAGCGAACGTCCCTCGGGAAAGCGCTCGCTGGGACCGTCTGCGCCCCGGCATGAAGGCGGGGTTGGCAGAACGGGCCCCTGAGGGCACCGGGTTAGAATGGGCACCGTAAAAAGAGGTGAACACCTTTCCGCCTCGGTGGGGACCACCCTCAGTATCCTGAACGCCTTGGCGTCAGGACTTCTTCTTTGCCGAAGCCTTCTTAGCCAATATCACTGTCCTCAGATCAGTTCTATTACTAAAAGGCTTCAGCTAAGAGTGCCACGTCTGAGCCCAGTGTCCAGCAGGGGGAGCACGAGACGCGACACTCTGCTTCTGCTGCACCCTATGGGATGAGCTCGTAGACGGCTGGGGCTGCTCCCGCCCCAGCCTTTACTTTCTCTTTCATATTCATCTGATTTAACCATATATGTCTTTCTGCGGCCACCAGAGCTGCCATGGATCGACCCACTAGCTTGGCCAATTCTCTGGTGGCATGCAGGGATAAATCAGCAGCCTGACGCAGTTCGCGAACTACGTCAGTGCTGACCTCCTCACTCTCACTCACGTAAACTCAGCAGGTCAGCCTGGTACGCCTGCAAGATGGACATAGTAGCACGTGCCTGACCTGCCACCGAATACGCTTTACCCACCAAAGCAGATGTATTTTTGAGACGCTTGGTGGGTAATGCCGGTGCCTTAAAAGATGATGCTGCCTTGGGGGAGAGGCATAGCACCATATCCATAAGCCTTAACCCCCATTATATTTGAGTATGTTGAGGTCTGGGGACTAAACAATCTATATGAAACCGGTCTCTTCCACGATCTCGACACCTCAGTGTGGAGATTGTGAAAGAATGGCAGGCAACGGCTTGGAGGCTGAACTTGTGATGGCAAAAATCTCTCATCTAGTTTCGATTTTGACTCCTGTCTAATCACTGGCCATTCAATACTGAGTTTTTCAACAGCTCTTGTTAAAACCTCCACTACCTCATCACTTTCGGGAGTGTAAAGTGGCGAATCCTCAGCATCTCCCCCAATACTAACAACATCCAGCTCCTCAGAACTGGATAGTTGCAGTACTGGTGCCTTAGCCCGAGCGGAAGAAATCGCAGCATGTGCTTCTGAACCCGGGACTGAGGCACTGGATCTCACAGGTGAAGGGAGAGATAAGGCAGAGGCCGTCTCTAACCCCACTAAGAGATCCAGCTGCGATCCCCATGATAAGCGCCGCGCTCTGCCTCGGCAGAAGCGGGACCCGAACTGCGGTGGAGCGCGCACTGAACCGCCCCCCTTGAAGAGCGCCCAGCGGGAGCAGAGCATCCTTAAAGATGAACTGAAAAAAAAAATCGACGTTGAAAACGTTTTGTTTATGACAATTAAAAGTAAATTACATTAAACATTTTAATAAAAATGTTTATGTCTGGTAGGGGAACGATTTCTATGGCCCCTTTGGCCAGAAGAGTCTGTACTTCTTGTTCCATAACCAGAGCCTGTTCTGGAACCACTGTAGTCAGCACCACCCCTGTAAACCTGGGGGGGTCTGTGACCAAACTGCAGTATGTATCCATTTTTTTATTATATTGAGGACCCACATAGAGATATTCGAAAGATTTCGACAATTTTCCATGAATTCTACTAAGGGAACCAGTCTCTCGAGACTGGTCTTGGGTAATTTTTGGACACCTTTCTCGACTTCCTGAAGCGACATAACGGCAGGTACTAGATTTATAACGGCAGGTACAGAATTTTTTGTGACCATAATTTTTGTTGTTTTTAATTTTTTTTGTGGCGGACACCCCATTGGATGTTCGCTGGACATTGATGTGGCCCGAAGCACCAGAGATGGCAGGACAGCATCTTTTTTCTGAGGGCTCTGCTGTAAAAACAACCTCGGTTGCCTCACAAAGGGGGGGGGGGGCCTCTGAGGTCCTGCCACCTCGGTTAGGACCTCTTCCCTGCTCTCTTAGAGGTCGGACTTTCAAACAGACAAACAACACCAAATATAGACAGGGTTAAAAAGCTCACCCAAAACCTACTCACGTCAATTTTCAATTATGATCACATACTTGTATATTTTATATTATTGATCAATATGTGAATCAGTTGACCAGGCTACACATGACTCAATTTGTTGTCTCATTGACACAAATTAATTTAGATGAGATTAGATGGAAATCTAGTGCAAGTTCTACCGGGAAGACTCAAATAGCACTTCGTTCATCAATCATGTCATTCATTAACCACAGTTCTAGCCAATCACTACTCGACATTTGGATTATTTAAGCCCGGTGAACAACCATTACTACGTTCGCAGAACCTGAGCTCACCACCATCCTCCCCACCATCACCAGATCCATCCATCCATCAGAAATAGGCTCCACCCCTGCCTCCATCTTCAGGCAGGAACTGCAACTGTCTTCTACCCTACAGATTTGAATTACAGATGGGGTCTACGCCAAGGAACTTTAACATTTAATTTGCATACAAACTTGTAACATACCATCTTAAATTTGAAAAGGTAGAACAAAATTATTGTAAAGAGGGACGGTACCATCCGTTGAGTTTTGAAGTGATTATATTTAAGTGCCGAACAAGTAACATCAAACGTGTTCACCCTCGACTCAAAAACTTATATTTACATATCACTTCAGGTTTAAGCAGTTCGAAGACGACAAACTCAATCAATAATTCTTTGATAATTCCCATGCGCATTAAGCAGTCGAACTTAGCATAAAACAGTCCAATAGAGAAACTTGTCTCAAGACTTATTTAGCATGTGCTCAATTAGAACATAAGGCTTCAATGAGTAGCAAAGAAAACAACAAATTCTACTCAAAAACCAAACCACAGATGAATACCTTAAGCTACAGCTCACATCCATGTTTTTTGTCACCTCCCTTAACTTCACTTCTTCTCTGCTTATATTCACCTCCTCCACCCTCAAAACGGTGGACATCGCCCCCTAGTGTAGCGGAAAGGCGTTAGTAACTGTGAATTCAACCTATAACTGTTACAAACTGTTAAATAAATCTAATTCATACTTTATCTTGCCTACCAAGTCTTTCTGGTAGAACTGTATTGATCCCAGATTGATTGCACTCTTGTATGTCACGGACTTCGGCAAACTTGTTTGGTCACATACTTTTTCAAACCGTTTATACTCCGTGATGATTTGTTAGATAAGTTGCAGAAAACAAGTCTGATCACCAGATGTTAGTTATGTTACATTTGAACCGAGGCGTCGGAGCGCGTTTCGAGCATAAATAGGCATGCCAGATCTAGCCACGATTCAAGGCTTGTGTTGTTAACGTAGAGATCACGTGACCAATTTCAAACGAAGCCTCATTTTCTGTCCCCGTCACGTGCACGGATCATTTTGCTTGTCGGAATGTTCAAACACCCAGATCTTACTCTACCGGTAAGTTTTCGTTCAGACTTAGTCAATTACATTTTTAAATACCCAATTATACAATTAAAAAGAATACAATTTATTTCAGGATTTGCCATGTGCAATTCATATATATATGCGTACATTATTCTTCTATTACATAAAATTAATATTCATCCTGGCATTAAATGCCACAGCTTAATGGTTAAACAAATTTATCACAGAGAGAAATTCAACACACACACACACACTGTTAGGCTATTATTTGTGCACATAACATGAAACTAGGGAATGCACGGTTGCTGCCGTCGTCCGACGAAGCTTCTTTCACAGGGTTTCGGCTACTTAATTTTTTGCTAAACACCAGATGGCGCTGTTTTCGACACTCTTGAAGCTTTGAATCTGTTCCCGGAACAATCAGGGGAAAGCCTCAGTGCTTCATGAGGCTTCATTTGCCCATCCCTACCAGATGTCACTAATGCACATTGTGTTAAAAGCTTCGAGCAATGAAGGCTTCAGAAAGCCTTGGTTTCCCATCACCACAAAATAATCAGTGTTGGGAGTAACGCATTACAAAAGTAATACATTACAGTAACATATTACTTTTTGCTGTAACGCAATAGTGTAAGGCATTACTAATCAATTTTCAGTAATATTTTACTCGTTACATGTTCAGTGATGCTTGTATTACAGTTGTATTACAGTGCATTGTCTGCTTTTACTTCTTAAAGGCAACAGACTATGTGAAAGTTTTAAAGCAGTCTTTTAGTGCCAGTTCAGAGCGGTCGCGTCTGTAACGTTGTTTTTTCTTCATAAATGCGAACACGAAAACTAAAATAAAATGAATATTTTAAGTTCTATGGAGACTGGAGAGCCAACCCTTCCTCATCCGATTTGCGCAGTGTAATTAACAGAATTACAAAAAATCGATTTTGCCTCCTATTTTTTTGTCACGCATGAATGTGTGTCTTTTCGCTAATATTAAAAATAAAACATAGACTGATATTTGTCTAATGTCTGGAGTCCTTTAAGGAAGTAGCCTATATATGTTTCAATAGGCTACATGTATTTTCTGAGAATTTTTATTTCAAGTTTTGACTGCAAATGTCATCATGTCCATAATGCTGGACTTCCCCAATTTTAAATAATTTATCCTCAACTAGTTTTGTGGTGTAGGTCTACGTATTTTATAATGTTAACTTCAAATACTAATAGCCTAATTTAAAGATAAGGCAGCATTGGATCTGGACGGTAAGGAGAATAACGCTGGAGTTGGAAGAGGTGTGTCGCGATTCTGTAGGTTCGTTGATCTGAGTCGTGTGGCGAATCGCGAATTCGGTTTCATATTGCATTTCGTTACAGCCCAAAGTTAAGTTCTACTTAGTTATTTTGGTGAAAGTAACTCAAAAGTAATACATGAGTAATGTAATGCATTACAATTCTGGGACAGTAATATTGTAAGGTAATGAATTACTTTTAAATAACAGTAACAAGTAATACCTAATGTATTACAGTTTGGAAGTAACTTGCACAACACTGAAAATAATACAAATAATAACTAGACACCAGGGAAGACGAGGATCAAAACTGAACACCAGGTGCAGAACTGAGAACACCAAACAAACAAGGTCGTACAAGGACAAGACCTGACAAAGAACACAGGGAATACTGGGGTTTAAATGCACAAGGGCTAACAATCTAGCAAGACACACCTGGGAACAATCAAGACTAATGAACAGGGGCAACCAATTAACAAAAGGACTACAAATATGGAAAAAGGAACAGGAAACACTTCAACAAAAGTACAGTGGCAAACAGAGGATCCAGCTGTTACGTGTTCCCTATGTACTCCCCATCCGTCATTGTTTCATCTTGTGTGTATTTACCATTGACTGATTAATAAATATGGCTTACAGCAGTCTCCTCCATCATCCTTATCCTTCTGCGACAAGGATGTTTTTCATCTTATTTTTATTCAAATTATTTGAATACCAAATGATCTGTGCCAGGGGTAAAGTAATGTTGCAATTCTATTGAATTAAATGGGTTGTCCAGCAGGAACCTTAAAAAAATTGTTTGTCTAGTGATTTAACATAAAGATATTTCATGAGGTACTCATCTGTCACTGGTATAAATATAAATTCGCATACAATGTGTCAGTATTATGCTCGTTCATTGTGTTTGGTCCTGTCATTCTAAGCCTTGTCCACACTAATATGTTTCAATTGAAAGTGCATCTTTTTCTTTCCGTCTTGGCCTTCCGTCCACACTGAGACGGCATTTCTATTTATGAAAACAAAGCTTTTTAAAAATGCTCTCCAAAGTGGGTAAATTTGAAGTGTGGACTGTAAAATTGGAGGCATTTAAAAACAAGGACATAAGTTTAGCCATGTGGTGCACATTGTACCAATAGATATTCATGTTTGTACCAACCCGGTCTCATCCCAAGACGTCATATAACTGACGTTTTGGGACGTCTTTTGACCATAAGTCAATAGTCGCCTTTTTAGGGCCCCCTTAAAGGTCGGTAGATGAGGTTATGGGATCCTAACTCTACCCCAGACCTAAACCTAACCCTAAACCTAACCCGTCACCTAACTGACGTTAAAGGTAAAGCGTCAGTTGTATGACGGCCCGGGATCGCCATCTACCGACGTTTAAGGGGGCCCGAAAAAGGCGGATATTGACGTATGGTCAAAAGTTGTCCCAAGACGTCAGTTATATGACTTTTTGGGATGAGACTGTGTTATTTGTACCAGTATTGTGTCTGTTTTGTGCTAATCACTTTCACACTGTTACTTTGCACACTCTTCATATCACAGTCCTGAAGATTACAGAATTTATTCACATTTGCTAAACATGAAAGTTGCGTTTGAGACCAAACATATGGTGACGGAGTGTGACCTGGACGTCAGGCTTGTGCACAGTTCAGAATTGAATTGAGAATGACTACTAAATTCCAATTCAATTCTTGAATTTGAATTGATGTCAAAAACAGGATCTAGAATTACAATTCGAATTTGAATTAAAGGAAGCAGAATTGCAATTCAATACAAATTCTAAGAAATTCATATAGATATTTTAAGTGAAGTGTTTAAAAATGTAGCTTTACAGTATATGTCAGATATGATTGCATTACATATTGCATAAATTATATTAGTTTTAACTACCAACAATGTTTTTCCCCAGCAATGAATGTTTACTGCTCTAGTCGCAGAACAAACAATTAAGTTTGATTTATTGTATTTGTAACGCCATTTCCCAGAATTATTTTAGTAAATCTTTAGGGAAAAAAAAATCTAATTAAAAGGAATTTGCTTTACAGAGCCATTCCACCGAAAGGGTGACATTTCTGTCCCCAGGACATTATATGTATAAAATTGCATGAAAATGAACTCTAAAATACATTTTATTATTAAGCAAAATGTCATGCACATTTAGCTAACTACAAATTGAAAACATATAATTAAAAACATTAACAAAAACGACACAGAACACTAAAAAAATAGCATTTTCTGCATGTCCCAACTCTCAATCTCTAAATTTTACCATGAAATATTATGATTAAAATCCTTCAGAAATCTGATTTTTCTTGCATTGTTGTGTGACTTTATATCCAAACTGCTATAAAATGAAAAAAGAAAAAAAACATTTGATCTAATATTTTAGATAAAATACACATTTTAGTCATGTCCCCAGGTTTTCACTCAGTCCTGTTACACTATTACATGAAATTGTAACTATGAATGATAAGGTCAATCTCAACATACATTCCTGTTACCTAAATGTTTTCTTAGATTTAATTGTTTTATTTGAAAAATATTAACTTTTGGTAAGGCACTAGAAATGGCTCAGTGTCCTCACGCTATTAGCATCACTGCTATGTGGCCATATGCCATATATTTGATAACTTTTTGCTTAAAAACTCAATCCTGTTACCTTCAGTCCTGTTACTATTTGTTTCTTTTTCTAAAAAAAAATACTATTTTTATCATTTTTGTTTGGCCCATAATTTATACAATTATTTAATTAATTAATTCTAAAAAACATTATAAGCTTGAGGCTTCGGCCATCTTTAAAATGAAAAAATGCCTTTGTGTTTTTTATATGAAAATACACCTTGCTTTAATAGTGATTTTATTGGCAAAAATATCCATTTTTTTTTGAATATATAACCAACAGTTTCTTTAAAATAAACACTTTCTTGTGGGGAAAACAAAGGAATTAATTGACATGCTTCTAAACTTGCTTTTTAAATGACACATGGTTTTTGGTATCAGGATTGAGAAAACATTCGTCCATATTCTGCTTAAACCTTGTAAAATAATAAATAAAGTTGCCCGAGATTGACCAATACACATTTTGAATAATTAAATATGTGTAGTATTAGATTCAATGTTGAAAAAGATCAAAAATAAAGTTTATTTTTGAAGAGTTACAACAAGCAAATGTCACCCATTCGGTGGAATGGCAAAATAATCTAAACCACATTTATAATGGGTAACTTTTAACAGTGAGCAATTACATTTCCAAAGTAACCTTTCTAACCCTGACTGTATAGGGGAGTGCGGGGCACAACGTAATGGGGGGCTCGTGGTAACACAACTTGTTTTAAATACTTCCACACATGCCAGCATGATGACACTTGGTGTATTTACTAGTTGCACTATAGAAAAAAAATTGTGCCAAATTCAGAGATCTTTGTAAGATATCATTGAACATTTATTTAACCATAGCAAAAGTACATTTCTTACTTGAGTTAATTTTTCATCTCTATTTTTGTGTTTATTTAAAATTAGACAAATCTGATAGTATTTCAATCTCCAATCTGTTGTTTAACTGTTGATATAGTTCTTTAATGCATCGCTAACTAGCAGAAGACGCCAGCAGGGTTTAAACCGCAGTTGTTCAGATGGGGCATCACGCTGCGTTACAATGTGCCCTCCGAAAAATGCTATTATATTCAATACTTTTATGAATTCTATTGAGAAAGCATGAGAAACATGTAAATAAAGACTGAGAGTCAATGTTCAGAAATGGTTAATTATCATTTTGTTTCGAACTATGCTGTATAGCTGTGTTTTCCAGTGTGTTTGTTGTCAAACTCAAAAATTAGTTTATTTTAAATTATTAAAAAATGCCATTATTTTATATGAAAAAGTTAATAATTGTATTTTGTATTTTATTAAGAAAAATATTTTGGTTTGACTTGTATATTTTTTGATTAGATAACATAGCATTTTAAGCTGTCATATAGTTTAAAACGTTAAAATGTGCCCCTCACATGTTACCTATGGCGCATGTTGCCACATTTCAACATTTCTTTCAGGGTAAATCAAGAAAAAAGTATACACTGTATTAATAAAACAAAACCACATAATTGTACGAGATATGTGGGAAATTAATGTGGGAAAAAAAAATATACTTTAAATAGATTTGCTACAAACTGAGAAAGTCCCCTGTGAGATTCAACACATTCTTTCTGTTGTGTGACTGTGTGGAATTTCTTTGAATTGCCATGAATTTAATTCCACTTCCTTCATTCCAATTCCAATTCAACTTTCTGTGGGGCGGAGTCAATTCAATTCAAATTCCAATTCATGAATTGAATGGAGGCCAATTCTGAAATTCAGAATTTTGCACAAGCCTGTTGGACGTGTCAGTGAATGGTGAGATATTTTGCTAAATAAAATGATCCTGTCAGAAGAGTTGCCTGATAACTTTATTATTTATTTTTCCGTATGTGTCATCTCAGTGACCTTTTAAGGTTTTACCATAGACTGTAAAAAAAAGATGGACGACACCCCTTCCCTGTCTTCCATCGGTCCAAACTGAAGCCGCCAGTATACATCCCAATATGGCGCTGGCATCTTGGAACTTGAGTCTGTGCAGTAGCGATTTCAGGGCCAGACATGCGTGAGCAGGAAGTAAAGCCGCGAAATCAAGGCCCCGCCCTCACTATCGCAGAATCAATCGCAAGCACACACTCCTGCCCTTTTTAAAAATTAATTATCGAAATTTGTATATTACATTTAAAGCTCCAATCTCCCCAGTCCTCCGAAGATCCCGAAAAAAAAAGTCTGTTGGTGCTTCAGTGACTAATTTGCTCAGAGAACCTGTCAATCACAGCTGTCAATCATGACCTCACACCAAATAACTAACTAAAAACAAACTTATTTTAAAAACAAACTCTTGAAATTACATCAGCGTGACAAAAACTACCGTTAATGACAGAAATCATCTTTGTAAAAACAATATTTGAAGTGTACTTTAATTGTTTAGTTGGTCTTGAATAACATGGGGAGGCGGGGTTTATGATCTATACTAGGACCGACCACCGAGGGGCGATCGAGACGTTTTGGCTTCACTTTTCAAGGCTTGGGTTCACGCATGCGGAGTAAGGTGAATTTAGCTTTTTCACGGCACCCTTTAGCATCAATATGAATCGCAGATATAAATGGGCCAGAAGGCGCCTCCTCGTGGTCTAACCCTAACAGTACCCCAGACCTAAACCTACCCACAACCGAAACGTGTTATATTGACGCTAAAGGGTGCTAATTTCAAAACTGTCACCAATATGACGCCCTGGGATGAGAATGTGTCGAGCGTGCCTGTTACATTCCGTTCACCTGAGTTTCATTAATTAACACTAGAACGGCCACAACGGTCATTTTGACCGTTTTGAATTTTATATCTACAATAACTCTGTTGAAAAAAATAATAAAATCCTGTTGGTACCTGACTTTTCCTAAAATTGTCTGTATTTTCATTTAAAATGCTTTTCATATAAATTAAGTTACGTAAACGTATAAGGCAAAACAAAAAAAATGAACATATTGACCGCACTGAATTTCGCGATATTTTTTCGTTAAATATTCCGCGGTTGATCGTGTTCTCTCTCAACTGTCAACAGAAAGGTCCGTCCGGTCACCTCTGTAGCGGTGTTTGCTATATAATAATTTCTACATTAGTTGTTGATCAGAAATAAGCAAATAAAACCAGACTACAGTTATCTATAATACTTACGTTATCTATAGGCTATATATCATTAGAGAGTGATTCAGAGTCAGAGTCCACATCAAGGAAAAAGAGACGGCTGCTATCATCAGACACGGCGGATCCAGATGTTCCGTTCATGTCGGATGATCCTGGTGAGCGCTGCTGTTTGTTTTGCTGCATGGGCTGTTCACTAGTTCTGCTAGTCCTATTATTATTATTAGCCTATTGACCGCTTCGCATATCGTCACTAACATTTTCGCCATAGTTTTTGTCATTCAAACCTAGTTTTTATTCAGTTATCGTCTCGTTTTCGTCTTTGAAAAAATGCGGTTGACGAAAATAAAATTATGAAAATTATTCGTCAATGAAATAAACACTGTTTTGAATTTAACGGTCAAAATGACCGTTCGTGGCCGTTCAAGTAGTTTTGGAATTCTGGCACTTCTAGTGTTAACTCGTTAGTCCTACCCTATCTCACGACCAATTCGTACGAATTCGTACGAGTGATTCAAAAGTGGCTAATTCGTACTAATTCATACGACCTCACTCGTACAAATTTGTACGATTTGTCTAAACCCACGTGACGGTTATGTTTAGGGGCGGGGTCAGGGGTAGGTCATTCGTACGAATTCATACGAATTGGCTAATTCGTAAAATATGTACGATTTAGCTAAATCGTACTAATTCGTACGAGTGAGGTCGTACAAATTGTTACGAATTAGCCACCTCGTAAAATTCGTACGAATTCCCGTGAGATCGGGTTGGTTAGTCCCTTCATTTGGTCATGTATTTATTTTCCCCGTCTTGTTGTTTTCCTAGTATCCGGTTTCATCTTCGTTAAATGGCTGCTGTTTGGCTCCTGATACCTGTGATCTGTTGAATGGTTTTAATTAAAAGACCATTCTATGCATTCTTCATCTTCATTTTCTCTTGAAATGTCAGTCTGTGTAACTTGAATTTATAGTTGGTATGATGTTGATATCACTGCCTTCAGTGCCCTGTTTTTACCCCTCCTCCCCCTGTAAGAGCCTCAAAACTACAGTGCTATTTACAAAGTGCCGTACTGACCAAACAGAGAACATTTGCTTGGGTGTAGTGTTATTGTGACCAGAAGGACAGGATCCATGTCTGCTGGCACACCTTTACCCCCTGTTCATGCTCCAGTGCCCGCTCTGCTTGGGTTTTGCCTCCCAGTTCTTGCCATGCTTCAGTAGTCAGCAGGCCTGCCTCTGTTGGTATTTCACATTCAATCTCATTGTTCAAAAGTCATATCAAAAACATCCTCCGCCATTATTATATTTCCTGAAAGCTCTCATACTTGGGTTTGGTACTGATCCAACTGACCTTATCTCATGAAATTATTAAGAGTGGTCAGCAACTGGAAGAAGTAACCTAATGGCAACTTCACTTATCCAACTGTGGAAGAATTTTAAATTCCGCTGATCACATGTCACCATGTTATTGTCGTTCACTGAGAGTGCACAACGAATGGGCATAACATTTAAGAGAAATCCAATGGTGGATGATGACTCGATGCATTAAAACCTCATGACTGAGGATTAGGATAATGGCTCAGAGTTGTTTCAATGTGAGTGGTGAAGGTTTTGCCAGCAGATTCGAACAGCATCATTTGAATAAGCTCCTGTGGAAAGAGCTATCATTGGGGCAGATGTGTTCCCATCAATTCTGAGTGTGTGAAAAAGGCTGTATCAGCATCGAAAGAGCCACTTTATCACCATTTCATGATATACTGTAACTGAGCATGAAATTTTACTGCATCAGAGATTTTATATTGAATAATCACAAAACAAAAATAAATGCATAGTTCATAAAAATATCCATATTTCAACAAAAACCAATAACAACAACATCTTTCTACTTAATATCATACATTCTCATCCATAAGCTAGTCATAAAATATAAACAAGTGAAACTGTTAAAATCTAACTTAAAGGCTATTTTATAATGTTTGGATAAGAGGAAACCTCTAAAATGTAGCATTGAAATAAATATAAATGTTTCAATAAGCAAACACAAGATTCTTTAAAACAACCTTCATTAATAAGTAATCGGCAAATCATATTAAATGCTTGAAAGATCAGTAGTGGCGAATTGAATTCAAAATATGAATATATCAAGTAAAGTTTCATGACATTTTTGGTTTTTGAATGGACTAATGATCAAATTTGTAATCTGACAGAAATCACCATGCGAATTCAAACAGTAGAACATTCGCCAGTCTTTCTCTTCTAATCCCTCATAATGCTTCATTCGATCTTTGTCAATGTCCTTTGGTTACATCTCTCTGCCTCTTTAAAAGCACTTTAGTTTTCCATCAGAGTGAGTCAGAAGAGGAACTCCACTGAGGAACTCCAGCAAGACTTCACGCATAAAAGCTTTAGGATACGCACACAAGCCTCACAAGCCACACCAGTTCCTTTTGCACACATAAATTATGGGATGTGCAACTAACACCAGTTGACAAGGGGACACTTGGATAGAGAGCGCGCGTAAAGCATGGCTTGGATACGCACATGTTTTTTCTGTCTTGGTAAGTAGCAAAGTCTTTTTTTCTTTCTTTTTTTATCTGACTTCACACACTTTGCTTATTAATGTATGGAAATGTTTACAGTGTTAGGGAGGTGTTGGCAAATCCACCGACCGAGACAAGGATTTATTTGGATAATATTACGCGCATTTTGGATAGGCTGTTAGATGGATATGACAACAGACTCCGACCTGGTTTTGGAGGTAAGCAATTACTTAACATGTTACTTCATGTAGTTGTTAAAGTAGTTAAAGACATTTACTTTTAATTGTATTATTTATAATATCATGACTTTGCATGGCAGACTTCCTCAAGTTCATCATCAGAAACTGCCTTACTGCTTTATAAGGTTTCAAATATTTGTAATGAATGAACTAAGGAGCATCTTTCTTTCTTTCTTTCTATTACTTATTTATATTTGAAAAACTGTAGGTCCCGTCACAGAGGTTAAAACGGACATATTTGTCACCAGCTTTGGTCCTGTTTCTGATGTGGAAATGGTATGTGATAAAAACAAACAAACAAACAATTATATATGATACATGAAATCATGCATATAAACCTAAATCCTCTGTAATTGCATGTTTACTATGTCCACTGCCTCTGTTCATGTTGGCCTGGCTTCATTATTCTGACATTTGGGCAGGATGTCATTATAGAAGCTTAGGGATTTTAATCTGGTTGACAATCCCTGACAGTGAGGGTCCCGGCTCAGCTTTCTTTCCTCTGTTGCACACTACACTATTTTCCTACAGTGTCTAAAGCCACCTCGCCTGCCATGTGATGCACTGTGACAATCCGAAAGACAGTAAAGATAAATCTCCGCCAAGATTAGTTGGGGGGAAAAAAAAGATAAAAATCCCATTCCTGATGGTGAATGTACAGTATACCAGCCTGATTCGTATACATCCCGGATGATACTTTCCTGATGTGTTCACTCATACAAATTTATCGTGGGTTGCTGTTTATATATGAAGAGTTCAGATGCAAAAGCCTCTAAATGCCATTTGAAATTTTCTTCTTTAATGATGATTTTTATCAAACTTGTATATTTAAGTTCAGTAATATCACTTATATAACAATTGAGTGAAATTACTGAACTTAAATATACAAGTTTGATAAAAATCATCATTAAAGAAGAAAATTTCAAATGGCATTTAGAGGCTTTTGCATCTGAACTCTTCATATATATATATATATATATATATATATATATAAACCACATGCTCTGCACATGACAGTTTAGATTTCTGTTGATTTAAAACGGCAGTCATGGAAACCACATGTGAATATCTAAAACATAAACTCTAAAACAAATAATAATTTCTTAGGAATACACGATGGATGTGTTTTTTCGGCAAACGTGGATTGATGACCGGCTGAAATTTGAGGGCCCCATTGAGATCCTGCGTCTCAACAACCTAATGGTCAGCAATATCTGGACACCGGACACGTTCTTCCGAAATGGCAAACGTTCTATTTCGCACAACATGACCACTCCCAACAAGCTGTTCCGCATCATGCAGAACGGAACTATTCTGTACACCATGAGGTAACCTGCGTGCCAGAACATTTGCTCTCCAAGTCAAAGATGGACTGCACACTTGCTCTTTAAAATTGCAGTAGAAGTGGAATAACACATTCACAAACAATTGAAATACACACCAGTCCACAAACAATCGAAATGAAACAACAACAACAGTGGATTCTATTACAGTACCAATTACTTGGAAAAAAAATGCATTCTTATTCATTTAAGCCGCATGTATTGGGTTGTTTGAACCCAAATTTGGGTCAAATATGGACAAACCAGTCACATTGGTTCAATGATATTTAACCCAATGTTTGAGTTTGTCCATATTTGACCCCAATTTGGTTAAAACAACCCAGCATTTTTTTTAGAGTGTTTGAATGACTTTTTTTGCCACTGTATATAGGGTTTAACAAGGTCATCTGTTATTTGACATAAATTAAAGGTGAAATGTGTATTGTTTTCAGGTTAACCATCAATGCAGAGTGCCCCATGCGATTGATAAATTTCCCAATGGATGGACATTCGTGCCCTTTGAAATTTGGCAGCTGTATGTATGTTAAAATGGCACACATTCCCTTTGAATGGTTTTACTGGTGTGACTGACTTTAGTTTTGATTTGTGCCTATAATATAGACGCCTATCCAATGAGTGAGATTGTGTACACATGGAAGAAAGGACCATTGTTTTCAGTGGAAGTTCCTCAAGAGAGTTCCAGTCTGCTACAGTACGATCTGATTGGACAGACAGTGTCTAGTGAGAGGTTGAAGTCAAACACAGGTATGATCTTTGGGACTTTTGAGTTAGTTTTTGTTTTCCGGTTTGGTGTGCACAAATCTGCCGAGACCTTTCTTAATACCAACCTCTTGCCAACACCAAGTTTTCTTTGTTGAATGTGACATTAAACTGGATTTTCTATTCGTCTTTAATGTATTTCTGCTGAATGTAGTTTCTTGCACACTTGTTTAGGATTGCCTATATGTTGCAGGTGAATACATAGTCATGACGGTTTACTTCCACCTGCAAAGGAAAATGGGTTTCTTCTTGATCCAAACATACATCCCTTGCATTATGACTGTGATCCTAGCGCAGGTCTCCTTCTGGATTGACAAAGAGTCAGTACCTGCCAGAACTGTGTTTGGTAAGCGTGTTTTTTGCTTCCTCACAAACTGATTGTCTGTTGGGCTCACTGCGCAAGCACCAGTATGATAATACTAAACCCAAACAGTGTAAGAAGTGATACAACTAATGATAATAATAATTCAGCGCTGCAAGGTATTCATTAAACAGACTATAGACCCGTTTGACTATTTTGCCTTTTGTGTGTGCTATTTATTCTATGTTCATTGTTAACTTGTTAATGGCTGACTGATTTGAAAATGTAGATGCGATAAGGGAACAATTTGATTAAGAAAAAAAATGTATAAATACAATCACTTGTAATATGATTTCAGTGCTTATAACTTTTGACCAATTTGTGGAGGCAGTTTGACAATGACAATCCAGCAAAAACTTGAGATAGAGCCTCAGATACAGTTTGGCATCAGGCCATCAAACAATTTGATATGTAAAACGATAACGGTTTTGTCTATCAACAAAAAACTAGAACTTTTTGCTGACATGGTCTGAAGATGATCTAAATTGAATTTGGTGCAATCGGACCAATGGTTCGGAAAAGTAGGTTTTCAAAGAAATGCAAAACAGCCAACGTCCAAAATGGCCTATATGGAAAAATGATGTATCGTTTGACTTGGCATGCTGAAACTGAGTCAAACGAGATTGTGATGTGATTTTTGGCCAAACTGCTCATTTATAAGCAAAAATAGCCATTTTTCATATCTCCTGATAACGGTGCCGAAACTATGCGGGCATCCTCAGGTTACGGTAGTGACCACACAAACCAAGATTGGTCTGAATATGCCAAAGTTTTGCTGAGATACTATCATTTTGCAGTTATTTGAGAGCGATTTGACTAATGATGAGAATTTATGTCATATGGTGTAAACGAATTGTCTTGAGCTAAGGAATCTGAGGAAAAAGCTCTAGTCCTTATAGTTAGCAACTCCAAATTTGCTGTGGTAAATGTTTAGATTGTTCCCTATCTGTGTGCCAAATTTCCAAACATTCCCTCAAGTGGTTCTAAAGGCTTGATTTGACTCCCATGGCGGAAAAAGAATAAGAACAATAAGAACTCTAGCGATTACAATGGGTGCCTGCGGACATTTGGTGCTTGGCCCCTAATTGACTATGTGTTGAGTCACTTGAATGCTTTACAGAAGTAGCACTCTGAGTTGCCGCTCATTTAGAGTGTTCCAAATCAGTCACACATGAAGCTACATTTAAAGGAGTAGTTCACTTTAAAAACAAAAACTTTTGTTGATAATTTACTCATCCAAGATATCCATGTCATTCTTTCTTCAGTCGAAAAGAAATTAAGGTTTTTGATGAAAACATTCCAGGATTTTCTCCATTTAATGGACCTACTGGGAAACGGTTCAAGGTCCAAAAGACAGTTTCAGTGCAGCTTCAAAGAGCTTTAAACAACACCAGATGATGAATAAGGGTCTTATCTAGCGAAACGATCACTCATTTCAAAAATAAATAACAAAGTTTTCGTTTTATAAGCACAAATGCTCGCCTTGCTCTGTTCTGTGATGAGCGTTTGTGACTCTCCTGTTTGTGACTCTCAAATCTTTTTTCGAGTCATGACTCGAAGTGTCCTAGATAAGACACTTATTCATCATCTGGTGTCGTTTAAAGCCCTTTGAAGCTGCATTGAAACTCTCATTTGGACCTTGAACCATTTGGTTCCCATTAAAGTCCATTATATGGAGAATATCCTGGAATGTTTTCATCAAAAACCTTAATTTCTTTTCAACTGAAGAAAGAAAGACGTGGACATCTTGGATGACATGGGGGTGAGTAAATTATCAGCAAAAGTTTTTTTTTTTTAAAGTGAACTACTCCTTTAAGGTATGATGTGGTTTTAAAAGGCAGCAGCCTATATAGAGGCCAAAGCAGCTTACTACTAAGTGAACTAAGCCAGAGAGAGCAGAAGAAGGGGTTTGAATTTTAAGCACTCCAGATACAAAACATATTATTCTACACGGAAAAGTTACAGAACAATTTAAAGTGAAGAGTTGTGAATTGCTAGACTGAAACTTGAAAGTTCTCATAAAAGCAAAAATATAAATCAACAAAAATGGTAACACGTCTTTAATTAAAGGGTAAAATTCGCACTTCTAACTAGTCGCTTATTAGCATGCATATTACTAGTATATTGGCTGTTTATTAGTACTTATAAAGCGCATATTAATGGCTTATTCTGCATGACCATATATCTCTCAATCCTACTCAATACCTAAACTTAAATGCTACAAAACTACAGTAATAAGTATTAATAAGCAGTAAATTAGTAGTTTATTGAGACAAAAGTTGTAGTTTCTGAATAAGTGTTCCCCACACTAAAGTATCACACACAAAAAAAAAAAGCCAGATGAATTTGCTAGGGACTTATTAATCCCTTGATGAGATGATACACATTTGACTTTTTATGTAGATGTTATTTCTGCTTCATTATCTTAATGCACTCTTCTTGGCAGCGGTTGGCAGTGCTCCTAAATCACTTAACACAGAGCAAACATTTTGATCCTCTTCCTTGCCTTCCTCGGTTTGCTCTATTTTCCATTTATACAATAGAAACATGAGTAGATGTTGAAGTATAGAAGAGTATGGAAATATATTGCATTAAACTTTACAACACATTAAATAGTGCTACTTAACCCGTAAAGAGAGAGACAGCCCTGAAATATATATTGTTTGTACCTCTGAGGCAAAAAGAATGCTTGTTGATGTGTAGTCCCACCCGCATGCCCAGATTGGTTGAAACAGTACAGAAACAGTATATATATATATATATATGAAGAGTTCGCCTATCCAAGTGCCATTTGAAATTTTCATCTAGTATGATAATTTTTATCAAGCTTGTATATTTAAGTTCAGTAATTTCACTTAAATGGCAATGATAATTACCTATTAATTGCTATTTAAGTGAAATTACTGAACTTAAATATACAAGTTTGATAAAAAATCATCATTAAAGAAGAATATTTCAAATGGCATTTAGAGGCTTTTGCATCTGAACTCTTCATATATATATATATATATATATATATATATATATATATATAGCATCTAAGTCTAACTTTCGAAGGGGAAAAAAAATCCAAACTTCATGAGGTTCTCACGTAAAAAAAAAAACAAAAAACAAACAAAAAAAAAAAAACACCAACATACTGTATTGCTGGAGTTTTTCTTAGGCCCTGTTTACACGAGAATGCTCGCGGGTGAAAACGTAAAAATATTTCATCGGACGTGCCTTTTGTTTACACGGCGACTGCGTTTTTGGGGCTTAAAAACACAAAAAAGTGAAACCACCCTCCAGAGTGGAAATCTTAAAAAGAGTAAAAACGCAAAAGTCTGCTAGACAGTGAAGGTTGCTTCACATCGCCACCTAGCCGCCTGGAGTGCATACTACATTGAATTTCACACACTTTTGCATCACCATATGCACGTGGATTTCCCACCCATTACGCTCCTCTAAACGCAGAATATAAAAGTGATAGCGCAACGCCACTTTTGCGTTTTCTCTTCAGATCGTTTACGTGTAAACATAGCCTTAATTCTGTTAAATTCATCCATTCTCAGACAAAATAAATGTAAAATTGGGATTTTAAATGAGCTAGATTGAAACTTCAAGTTCTTCTGTTTAAAATGATATAAGGCACTCGATTCTGTCTGCTAGTATGGGTTAGAAAACGAAGGAAAGTACAGGCGAATCATTTGCCCAATGTTCTAGGTCTTTGTGAAGCAGTCTTAAAATGTGTTAACTTTTATTTTGTCCTCATTGATTTTTCAGCTGATTAATTTTGTGTCAGTCTTTGTTGTCTCCCGCTTGTGTTTCATTGGGGTTATTAGAGTTTTTTGGCAATTCGGAGTGCATCAGTTTTCCTCTTTATGAACACATCAGCACTTGGTAGGGATACTAAACGAATACATTGAGATATTAAAGATGATTTGCCTATCATCAGTTATGGAAGTTGCCAGGTGCGTTTCAGCTTTAGTTGGGATACGTTCTTCTTTTGCTGATAAAGTCACAACTTCAGTATAAAAATGGCTTCCTCTGAGTGAGGTGTTAATTACAGCACGTCAGTAGATTACAAGCAAACATCGGCTCATGTGGAGAAGTGAGTAACCTACAGCATGTTTCTCAGTTCTGAGGTGAGGGTGTTATGCCTGTGAAAATAGATGTGAAAGAAAACTTCAAAGAGTGTAAAAAAAAGAAAGAGAGTGAGAGTTTCTGACAAATGACTTGCTTTCGAGAGTAGAGACGAATAGGTAGAGGCATTCACTGTCCATTTCTATCGTAGTTGCTCTACATCACAATCTTTTACCACTAAGAGCTGAAATAACCCAAAGCATTTGGTTCAGAGATGTAATTGACCGAAGTAAATTTGGACCAGCTTTTTGTCCTTAAAAGCATTATTTTGTCCCTAAGGCAATTACTGTTTGTTCCTTTACTTTCTTTCTCTTTCTTCACAACATTTCTATTCATATCCAGGACACGGTAAACGTGTTCTCGTGCACAAAAGCTATCAAACTTTGATTTGAAACTGAAGTTGAACATTCAATGATATTTTTAATAAGATAAAGCTTAAATTAAATTTATTTGTGGAAGATGTCAATTTGGTAGGGCTATGATGAAGCTATGTGTGATATTAAATACAGTAGTTATGAGGTCAGAGTTAGTCAACTGACCTATTTAAGTACATTGCTTTGAAACATAAAGTGTAAAGGTTTTCTTGTCCCTTCCGTAAGAAATCCTACTGGGCTGTCCTCATACTCTCTCTCCCTCTCTCTTAATGTGATTTCTATCTGCTCAACCAATTGACCATGATCTGCCCTATAGATCCCCCACATCAGTCCAATAAAAACACAGCAAGCTAGTCCTGATGTGGACAGGAGGGCAGATTTGATCAGCAACACCTTTGGCCTTAAAGTAACATGTTTTGAGAAGTGGGGTAAAGTGTGGTGAAATTGCACAAAGAAAAGATTGTTTTACTGATGCGAGATGTCTGGAAG